ATGATACGAGACTAACCTGGACAGTTTTACTGTGGTCGTATCAAACAACATTTACACTAACTGTAGTGCCAGTGTAAATTGCCAATGCAAATCCATCCATCCATATAGTTGTTGATTATATCATTGGGCTGGACTTCACACTCAAAAGTAAAATGCTGCAGGAGATCTGAAATAAACACAGAACACAGCAGAAACTCAGCAGGTCCGGCAGCATCTGTGGAGGAAGAAACAGAGTTAAGGTTTCGAGTTAGATCTGACTCCTCTTCTGTTCTGGTTGGGGCTCTATGGTAACCTCTAGCATTCAGAACACTAACATCAGTGGATTGGATGTATTACTATGTTTGACAAGAGAGAATTGGACTCAGACAATACTTTGGTGGTTCAAATGGTAGATCCAGTGGGTGGATCCTTTACAGCAATGAGCCGTGTGAGTGCCACGGTAAATGAGGAGATTCTAGATGGCCCATTTTCCAACTAAGTTTTGAACATCACGATGAGATCCTCACTAATGTGTGGTGAGAGGCCTACTTGCATTAGTTAGCATGTATTAACATCTCAATATTTTCCAGTTTCACCCCATTAAAATGTAATTATCCATTCTCCCACCTGCTGGATAGGAACCTGATGCTAACAATTTCCAACATGAAAATTAGAACAGTAGCCTTTCAACTCCTGCTTGCTGTTCAGGTTCTCCTTCTTGGACAGCAGTCACCAACATTCGAGGGCACATTTCATGGGCAGTGAGTACGCATGCTCCCTTTTATGGACCTGGGCATCAGACTTGTACCAGCCTCACTGCACCCTCATGACACTTCAATTCTGCACTTTGGAGAGCACCTGCACCTCTCGTTGCAATGCTGCCAGGACACTTTGTGCACAGGGACAGGCATCCAACTCCAGGATTGGACTAGAATGTATCTGAGGGCTACTTGCTTGTTTTGTTTCTCACCACATCTGTCTTGCCTGCTTTGCATTGTCTTGACTTTTTGTACTTTGCTTCCTCAGCCAAAGTTTAAATGCTCACATTATATCTGTATTGACTTGTCCTTTAGCACAGATTCAAAGCCAAGCAGTTTATATTTTCCAGCAGTGATGAGTCAAAGGGGCAGACACGTTGCAAGTGCTGGAGAAACGCAGCAGGTCTGGCAGCATCAATGAAGAGAAGTAGAGTTAACATTTTTAGTTTGGTATGCATCCTCGTAAGGGTAGTATCTGTCATCAGCTTGAGCACAGTCAGTTGGTTGCTTAGGAAAGTTTGGATCAGGGAGTCTGTAGCAGGGAGGGCTTTGTGACCAGAGGGCCTGTATTTCTCCTCTGACTGGGTGCCTATTGGCACCATGCAGTCTGCTTCTCGAGAGGGTGTACCTGGAGTAAGTTCACAGTAACTCATCCCACTAAGCCTGCTGGACCTGGCTGTCCATGACAGCTGCCAAACCGCCCATGGAAGCAGCCAACCCCTTTATATGCCTGAGGCAGCAGAGTGCAAACAACGCCTATGCAGTCCCACAACCTTTGTCAATTTTTCAAGTGCCTACCTGTTGCCTGTACACTGGCTTGTGTACTTCTATGAAGTTCTACTGCTGACTCTAATTTATCTAAAATACCTTCCAAGGTATCAGTATTTGAGCTAATGGAGGGTGCAGGAGGCAGCCTTGCTCGTGCTTCTTCTGAAGGATCTGTGGCTTCTTCCTCAGAGGTGATGGAGCGATGTGCTGTGAGGTTCAGGGTTTTCATTTTAGTTTTTGATTTTTCTCCATTATTTAGGATTGATCATTCTGCACATGAAAATGAATTAAAAGGAAACTTTGTATGTATAATGTTGAAGTGAAAGTACAGAAATATGTTTGATTTCAGCCCAAATGCCATGAATAAGATCATATAATTCTTGCAATTGTACCTTATAATAAAATAAATATTTCACTTGTCCACTGTTTCAATTGTTTGAGTTATTCTGGAAAGCAAAATTGTTGCCTTTGTGACAAAACTTTGTTAGGAGCATTTTAATTATGAGCACTTCTTCCAGTTGTTTGACAACTTGAACGTGTCAACCTTTGAAGATATCAGAGTGCTGTCAACGTTTAATGATACCACACACTTGTTTCTCATCACAAGAACCTTGGTTGTAGAGGAGTGATCGTTTGTCAAAATCAGCTGATTTCTTTCTGTGCTGATGCTGCTTACAGGTCATCTGCTGTTGCCCAACTTTGGAGATTTGCTAGTTTAGAATAATTGTTTTTCATTCTGTTGTATCATAGTTTTATTATTGAGTTAGTCATCCAGAAAAAAATGCAACAATGAATTGATTGTTTTCTGCAGTGTTTATCAACTAACTTATTGGTTGCTACTCTGTCTGATGCAGACAGAATACCAATGGTCTATCATTTCATATTCAGTGGAAAGAGTGTTCAGCGTTTTAAACCCAAGGTATTTGAAATTACATGATGCACAAAGCCTTTATACTATTGTAATATTGCTGACAGATCAAGAGAAACAGACTGTGCACAATGGTCTTTTCTCTTTTGAGGACAGCTGTTTGATACTTGACTGTGCATTAATAATAGAATTATAATTTTACACTTGAATATTCTAGAAGTCGCTGCATATAGTTTAATCTTTGAAGTCTTGAAGTCCTAGCAAAAATGTGTGGTGTATTATCTGTGAAGTACTGTTGTTGGTTATGGGTGATCGCCATTTTGAAATTTGAGGAAGAAAACTGAGTTCCAGTTAAAGCATTGTGACACCTTTTTGTGAATAAATTAATTCTACCTTAACAACTATGGTCAACTTTTATGCAAAGGTATGGCTAGTATGCGATTTTGAACTGTGAAAGCTCATCACTACTTTCTCAAGGGCAACCAGGGATGGGCAGTAAATGATGACCAGCCAGCAAAATCCACATGCCACAAATGAATAAAAAAAGCATAGCATTGATAATAGAAATTAAATTGATATAACATGTTTATTGAATTAATTCATTCTGCAAGGTCATCTTTAATTACAATTAAAATTTTTCAGACATTGTCAAATTCATTGTCATTCATATCTGATGCAGAGTTCATCAGATTAACTTTGATTCTATTTGACTAGAGCATTTATTGCATGGGTCCCATTGTGGATCAGATTTAGTCATTTTGGTTTCAAAATCGTCCCTGCGGAAGAAATCATCTTCCTCTCCATCCATTGTTTTGAAAAGGTGGAATGCACATTCAGTGTGCTTGTGCATTAATAACAACCCCCAATTTTTTTCAGTCATTCACACAAAACATCACGGGGAGTCATTCCAGTATTGCTCAATGCTACCCTTATGCATGATGTCTAATAATATTTCAGTTTACTGCGGGTTCATGTATCCAATAGTTTTACCGAACTCAACCACTTTATTAAAATTGTCATAAAAAGAAACTTTGCCTAGATCCAGCATGTTTGCTCACTATTTTGAGAGAGAATCTTCTGAACAGCCATACGTGTTTAAATTGTCATATTCTGTTTCCAAAATCTTCCCAACCACTCTGTGTGCCAACTGTGAATTAGTTATTTGATTGTTCAACACTTTTCCTTGTGTAATAGATTTCTTTGGTTGGAATATAAAGAAGGCACAATACTTAATGTACTTGGATGGCAGTATTTACTGTTCTTGCACTGCAATTGATGACATCAAGATTATATTTCCATAAATGTTGAGCATCCAGAGCACATAATCAATATGCTTTGCATGCAATATGTAAAGGTGTGATGAGAGATATATAATTTATATATCAATGGTTTCAATCCCAGATCAACTGACGTGTGCAATGAACCTGACATGGTCAGTGAAGTAACATTTGAAGTGGAGGGAAGCACAGTTTGTAACAAACAGTGTGATTGTGTGTGCTTTTTGTATTAACCTGTCCAGGAAGAAGGATGTAGGTAGTTGGCCCATTGTTCTATATGCTTTGAATTGTCTGAGCAGGGGTTCATAGTTGGACTTTTTTAAAAAAAAGGCCATTAATTGGGAGGGTAATCTGAAACCAGAGGCTAACCTCAGACCATTATTGGCTCATTAAGTGGAAAACTGGATCAAATATCCATTGAATTGTTCTGGATCACAGCCATGTCACTTTCACTGGTTTTTATGTCTTGGGTGGATTCTAAGACATTTTTTCTGATTCTGTGCCACATAAACCCAGGTTGAACCGAACCATTAAAAGACATTTGTGCATGTTGGGTTGATGTTGAATAACTTTGGGATGACTTCCAAAGTACTGAAAAGCAATTTTTCCCCAACTTCAATTGGAGTGGGAAGATATGAGTGAAACACTGAAAATAAGCAGCCTCTGCTAAAATTTCTGAAGACTGCATTTAAACTGTAGCAAATTATTACTTTGAGAGTTGGCTCGTTTTTGGCAGGAATTTGCTCCCATTTGCCATAAAATGACTGAAAAGATATCTGGAAAGATTGCACAGCTGGCAGTCACTAGTATAGAAATAAATAGTACTGAATCACATCTCATTTATTATACAGTTTATAATAACTTGTGGGTGAGTTTGCATGTCTAGTATTATCCCTTCGGGTATTGTAGTCCCTTTGCAAATTGGAACCAGTGCTGCAACATCAAGGAAATTAAAATCATAAATTCAAAATGAGCAGAATGAAAGGTGGGAAGGGTAGCATGTGCACTAATTTCCTGACAAATGTTGTACGTGTAGGAGGTGATCATGCTCATTAATTTTGAAATAATTGACAAATGCCCACTGTTTTTCAAATAAACTTACCCAGTTAGATTGTATGGTAACATTTTTGCAAATAGACATTGTTATTGGTAAAAGTTACCTGACATTGTTCTCAGACTGCTAAGTTGCACTGTAGGGCCTTCAAGTAAGTCAGCGCCTTGTGATTGTGCAACTGCACACAAACCTTCTAAAGTTGTTGCTTATTCAAGCAGAGACGGTTGAAAGTCTGAGAACTGGATTTTCCCCCAACCCACCACATATGTAAGCAATAATGATGTTTGTCTTGGTAGGTTTTGAGACTGCACGCTCTTTAGCTTTGCATGGAGCCCATGTTGTCCTAGCCTGCAGAAATCGAGCTCGAGGCAATGAGGCCACACAACAGATACTGGACGAATGGGTGAGTGTTGCTATGTTGTGTCAAAACCTTTACTCGACTTATCTAACCCATGTCCACTAATAAGTCTGTTCAGTAAATTCTACTTTTTTGGACTAAAAATTCACAGAGATATGAGGATTCAAACTTAGCTATCCAACTGGAACTTTGGATTGACAATAGTGTCCACAATTCTAGGATGTGTGTACTTAACATTCCCATGCCCATGTTTTCTTTCAAGTTCAATGTGTAATTCCATGATCCGCAGTATCCGTGGGGAAGATACGCTTATTAGCAGCCATGCTTGCAATGAGGTTAGAGGATTGTTGTACTGATTTTGCCCTTTGCGCCCTGCAAGCATAGCTCTCCACCGATGTTGCAGAATTACCCCAGCTGCACAAGGATCACAAAACAAAACGCCAAGACCGGGGCAAATGTAAAACCTTATTAATTGAACACTTAATGTAAAATTTGCAATTCAAAAAGAAATATATTAGTAAGAAACATGTTAGGTGTAATTTTTAAATGAAAAATATGGTATTTCTATATTTCAAATTGGTTAAGTATATCAAATATCAGTTTCTTATTGTTTATATTCAGCCAAGAGTCTCAATTGCAAGAATTGTTTGGACATTGTGGTTTCACTGTTTGTTGAAGTGTTAGACTTCAGCAACGTTTGAATATTATTCCAGAGATGTTGTGATTTGTTGTTTCTCTTAACTGTGTATTAGTTTGGGTAAAACTATACACACAAGTGGCGTTTTTCTGGTGAATGGTGTCAACAGCTAGCAGACATGTGAAGGAGACGTATTTGAAAATATTTAGTTATTCCACCTTTAAGAGCTTCTTTTCTCTCTCTGTAAGTTACAACAGAATGAAATGTGACCATTGTTCAAGCGACTTTAACAATGAAATCTCTATTATATGCAAAATAAGAAAATGTTACTGCATATTGTGAGAATAGCAGCATTTTAGCATCCCTGAGCTTGTTGGTTATAGGTAGTTACTAAATAACGCATTCTTAGCTAATTGGGACAACAAGTGTAAGGTCTAAAATTGTACTGTTATTATGCAAAGGAGTGCTCTTGTCTGTTGCAATTTGCCACACAAAAGGCTGACAAAAAGTAGAAAGAGACTTTAATGGGACAGTGCTCTAATATAACTTACGTTTCTGCAGGATTGAGTTTTCCTCGGGGGAAATTTGTATGATACAGTTGCAATAAAAATAAAAGTCACTGTGCAGCTGCTTTTCTTTGCAGTGCCTGTTGCTGCAGTTTTGTAAACATTTTCATTAGAGTGCCAAGTTAAAGGGAACTCTATTGTTTCTTGGGGAGATGTGACTACTGTGCATCTGATTCTTTTGAGCTCTAGGGATCTCAGCACCAAAAAGCATTCAGACATACTCTGTGAGTGCTCACCTTGTGGCTGTCTGTATTTTGCTTTTTTAACAGAAAGAGCTTACGTTTTATGAAAGTGATCATAATGGAGATCATAATGTAGGAAGGTACATTTGGATGTATCTCACTCATGGAAAAATATTTGAATCATGACTAGAGTTGCTTTTTTCTCAAAATGAAAGTAAAGCTCAGTGAAGAGTTTTAAGTTGTGTTAAAGAAAGATCACTTTAAACTTCTGCTTGCTCATCTCAATAAAGTAAAATTTCTTCCTTTGTGAATCCAAAGCTCAGGGACTTGAGTTGTGAGAAATCTAATCCAAGCCTACATTTGGCCCTTGATGGTGCAAGGTCCAAAATGGAGTGAGTTAATGTACCAGAACGTATTGATCTGCAATATATATTGAATAATCAATTGAATTGTTTTCTTGCCCACTTTTCTAAACCACTGTCCACTTGCTGCTGGGACCACATGTTGCCATCTGTTGCCAGCAATTTCCGTATTCTTTCAGCTGCCAGAGACACCCAAGGGAATCAGTCATAATTCCATAATTTACCTATTTTTGATACTCCCCTCTTTGCTTTGATTGGAAATTTAGGGAGTGAAGGGAAGAAATTGAACCTGCAACCTACCAATGCTGCCTTTGCAGTTGCAAGTTCTGATACTTGGTGACGTTTTTATGAAATCCCAAGCCGAAGTATATGGGCTTAATGTCGTCTGTATGAAATCACCCAGCACCTTGAAAAACAAATTCAGAAAATACACAATCTAATTATTTTCTGCTTTCAGCCAGAGTTATTTAGACCTGGAATTATTAACCTTTTCAATCAAAGCAGATTGTTTGTTACTTAGCTGTAATGCAGGAACATTTATAAATCAATTAGGTTTGCATCAGTATAATTTAATTATAATTACAGAAATGTGTTTCAAGCTGAATAAACATGTTAACAATTACTCAGTTTCTTAGGAAACTATACGTGCACTGCACATATGTGGTAATGATGAGGCACAGCAACTAAGAGGTAAGAATGTGATGTTGATTTGTCAAGTGTTACTCATTTAATTCCAATGACAGTGAAATTCTGTTTGTCATGATATCTTACAATATTACACCCAAAGGATTGCAGTGGTTCATGAAGGCAGCTTACCACCAGCTTCTCAAGGGCAATTAGAGATGGGCAATAAATGTGGCCCAACCAGTGACATCGACACCCCATGAACAAATAATTAAAAAAGAAATTACAATGACAGACGTGTGGAGCAGGGAGAAGGTTCAAGTTCAATTGCAATAAGCAACCTCTGACTTACTGTGTTCTGGATGACAAATACCTACTTTATAGTCACTTTAATACAGATTTACACTGCACTTTATTTATGTTCAATTTTCTTTCTTGGCCACATCTATGTGCTGCCGTTTAATGATCAGATGTGGGTCACCTTTCACATGTATTCCAAGGGATAGCCAGTTCCGTCTCTCTCTGTGTCTTTACCACACTACTGCCTTTGTACTGGCCGGCTGCCATGAACAGGAACAAACATAGAAGTTGCTGGAAAAACTCAGCAGGTCTGGCAGCATCTGAAAAGAAAAAAATCAGAGTTAACCTTTCAGATTCGGTGACCCTTCCTCACAAGGATTTGCGGAAGGGTCACCGGACCTGAAATGTTAACTCTGACTTTTTTTGCTTCACAGATGTTGCCAGACCTGCTGAACTTTTCCAGCAACTTCTGTTTTTGTTCCTGATTCACAGCATCTGCAGTTCTTTTGGTTTACCATGAGCAGGACTCAGCTTTGTACAGCAAACACTGGAAAGGACAAAGATTGTTCTCTCTCTCTCCACCACAGAGGATCATGAGTCTTTGCACCTCTTTCTCAAAAGGCAGTGGAAGCAGAGTTTAAAACTTTTTATGGCAGAAGAGCATAGATTCTCAATAAACAAAGGGTGGAAGGTTATAGGCTTAGTGCTAGAAAATGAGATTATAATAGATGGATGTTTGATTACTTATGGGGACATGATTTGGCTGAAAGGCCTCTTTCCATGCTGTAAACTCTATTACTCTACAAAAAAGTAGTCTGTAAAAATATTATTGATCTGTGAGCTATATCTGCAATGTGGTATCATGTAATAACTTTAAAGTTAGGGCTTGTTCAGCTACTTGACTTTGTTGATAGATCTTAAACATGAAGGTGGAATGTATCTAATGTAAAAGAAAGAACTGTAGATGCTGGAGATCTGAAAGAAACAAAAACAGAAATTGGGGAATTCAGCAGGTCTGGCAACATGTTTGGAGAGAAAACAGAGTTAACGATTCGAGCCCAGTGACCGTTCAGAACTTGCTTTATGACATGACAGTGGATTGACCATCCCTCGTAAAGAAGTGTTGTGATGACTGCTGCCTGGTCAATTTTGATATTTGTTTTAAACCCAACTCCATGATTTCTGTGGGTGAGTCTGCTGAATGTTGAGCTTGCTTTTGCCTGGCGACAGTTGATTTCATCAACTAAGGGGCGGCACAGTGGCTCAGTGGTTAGCACTGCAGCCTCAAAGCACCAAGGACCCGGGTTCGATTCCATCCTTGGGCGACTGTCTGTGTGGAGTTTGCACGTTCTCCCTGTGTCTGTGTGTTTCCTCCTGCTGCTCCGGTTTCCTCCCACAGTCCAAAGATGTGCAGGCTAGGTGGATTGGCCATGCTAAATTGCCCATCGTGTTCAGGGACGTGTAGATTAGGTGGGTTATGGGGGTTGGATTTGGGTGAGATGCTGTCAGGGTCGGTGTGGACTTGTTGGGCCGAAGGTCCTGTTTCCACACAGTAGGGATTCTATGAGCTATGATCTATGAACATGTTGTATTGAAGATAGCAGAACTCCTGAATAGAATTATGGAGTGCATTTGTTTACCGAGACTGGCCTGGGGCAAGTGATACAAAATCTGTCTTTTTCAAACTGATTGTAAGGCTGACCCCTTCTGAGGCTTGGGAAAACAATCAACAAGCAGCTGCTTGTAATATGGATTGGGTGCTAAAAGAAAACAGGTGACATCACACGTGGTTCACTCGGATGATGTTGTTTGAACTTTGTATGAGGTTTGAACTTTTCACATTGAGGTTGTTTTTGTTCTGACCAGACATGCCGTCCTTTGTCAGGACCTTGAGTCCATCCAAGAACATAGCTGTAAAGCAGATTATAAAAAAACCTGGCACCATTATATTGTCTTTCTTGGTGCAGTTGGTGACAGGAAAGGTATCTGATGATGTCATTGGTCTGGATCTTCTGAGGAGTGGCATTCATCGTTGGATTGAGGCCAGGATAAGTAATCGTTGAATCAGATCTGAAGGAAGAGCAGAATATGTAGCTATCTTGAATTTTTGATGGAGGTTGTTGTCCCGAAAGGGATTTTTTTCTGAGATGATGAGAAAGCCGGGCGGGGGGAGAGAAAATGCAAGCTGTCCATGTTCCACTGTTGTGAACCCATGTTCCATTGTCTGCTTAACAGGACCTGTCAAAATAAAGGTCACTATGTATTCCTGAGTCTAATGCCACTGTTTTTTCCAAGCTGCCTTAGTTGCCCATGAGCCTTTCATCTCCTAATATGTGAAGTTAGGATTCACATGTGAATTAAATAGGACTTACAA